CTCTTGGAAGCCGGTCCAGCGAATACAACCCACTCAGCAGTCCCTTTGTATGGTTTCCGTCAGTTGCGCCAAATGTCAATCAAAACATTAGTTGAGCATAGGCTCGCAACTCTGATTTGCTAGTCCGGTACTAGATAAGGGCTTGTATGGTGTCGTTATCCCTGTTATCCGTCCCACTGAAATTTTCAGTCATTATAGAAACAAGTTTTATTTTTAAATAGTGCCCTCAATCTCATAAAATATTGTTAGAACACGTGCACGACTGTAACTGGACAGTTTCGTAAGCCATATTCTGAAGTTATATTTAGTCAACATACACAGTGGATTCACTTGCCTCCTATCGGAAATTGCCAATTTTTGCTCCACTCTCCGGCTTATAATATCCCAGTGGGCCAAAAGGAAACCAATTATGCGAACAAACACTTTATTCTGACAGTCTGCAAAACGATTAAAATTTCGTCAGAACTCGCCTTTTTTATTTGGGGTCCTAAGAGTTCTAGGACATTCCGACTTCTGGAAGGTTGTTCCTCGATTTCGCGATTATACAGTCAAAAAACAATCTTGAGTGTGCTTCGGGTCATTTATTGGGCCCCGCGCATGATTAAACGCATCACGCCTATTGACTGCCATAATTTCACGGGTGAATTTCCCAATAGTGATTCCGCCCCGTTTCTGCTATTCATAACACTGCCAACTTCGAACAATTGGATCTCACAAGTCTTCCTCCTGGGGTCGAAGATCATATTATTTAGCAGCCATGCCCTTCTGTGGCTCCTACGACTGCAGATTGTGCCGGATGACTGTTTACCTTGCGGGTTGCGACCTCCAAGGTATCAGACACCGGGTCGAGCGCTACTCGGTTCTCTGTGGTAACCTGATGCCTAAAATTTTCCGCAAGTCCATTGATTTTTCTAGTTGTTTCCAGCTCTGGACTTCTAGGTAATACCGTCCACCTACACTTTCTCTCCGGATTTGTAATTACTAGCTAACACATCTTATCTTTTCTGAAAATAGTATTTTTACAGTTGGAAACTTGAAACGATAGCTCTAGGTACTGCCGTAGACCATCAGGCTGTCGACCCCCAAAAAGGGCTCGGCTGGTCTTTGGACGCCAATATCAATTTCGGAGTTGTTCAGTAGGTGAAGATGATCAAGTTGAGTTAGGTCATTTTGACAATTGTGTATCACATATTTTTCGCAGTTTATTGGAGGCCCTCGGAGGACACCTTTATTACAACCACACATGCTCGAAATTTCACGATCTGCAGACCCCATGTCGCCAGATCATTACTTAAACTTACCTTCTATCAAATGTTAACGATGACATCTTGCGCTTTAAAGTTCCAACTAAAAATGCGTATCATTTCTGACCTATTGATCATTATCAGACGGGCAGTTGGTCGTCAAGTCTATCAATTTTCATCACTCTCACTATTTCTGTGTACGTAATGCCCTATGGCCTAGGAGTCACAGTGACCCTCCAAAGCGAGTGCAATAGAAAAATTTGCTGAGTGTCCCCTTCTACACTTTATAACGCTTTAGGGTGGCGGACATTTGCTCAGAAAACCTCTGTCAAATAACTGCGCCAACTGAACAATTCGACCCATCGAGACCAGGTGTCTTGCAGGAAATAAAAACGCATTGGTCTACTGGTAAAACAGTTACACCGCATCAAACCGTAGCGCCTGCAAGCAAGCTTGAAAGCATAGACTATCAAATTGCCTCTGATTCCGAACCAGAAAACACCGTTGCGAGCACATTGACGGCCACTCGCTCTAAAGTAAGTCGAAATGTTATCGTCGTAAGTAAAAACATTCATGTTAAATGTTCCCTGTGGTGATCCACCTCTTATTTCATGCTCGCGTTTATCTCCTTGTCATGATTTTCGGCTTCATATTTCTTCCGTTTAAGTTATTCTACTGTTAGTTCTTTAAGCGACATGCTTCGTATACTCTTTTATACTACTTACCAATTGTTAAGTAATACAAAATGACTCAGTTATTAAGTTGAGGGGTGACGGGCTGGAACATTGACAGATAAGCAATTTGTTCGGCCTTTACCAACTACTGTCCTACTCCCATCAGTAGCCCACTAAAATGACGAAAGTTTTATTCTTTTCATCTTAGGTTCGACCTGCGTACTGAGTTCCTTTCGAAACCCACCTTTTCTTTGTACGCATTTGTTTGCCAACTTTAGGTAACATCATCACGTAAAGCAGAGAATTTGGAAAATTATTTGAACTCCAGTGACTCAGAGGAAGGCACGCCAATCTTTTTAAGAGCACCGCATGCGCGCCAAACTTCAAATTCCGAATCTCTACAACACAACCCGCACAAACCTTCTTCTCCTATCGAGGTAACTGCCTCTGCTCCCATTCTCATCGTCTTTCAGTTTCCTATTATCGAGGACGATTCACAGGTTCTTAAAGGCCAAATCGATTTTACTGTGATATCTAGCAGTTCAGAGGAGGAGACGCCAGTCTGTGATAGAAACCCACCCGTTCATAAGGGCTTGGATCCTACCATTTTCTTCTCCGCTACTGAAGAACATCAACAGGCTCCATTTCGGAAGTACATTCCGCCTCCTGCAAAATGTATACGGTAAATAACCTCTGTTTATGTGCGTGTTTTTAATTCTTGAATCGGCATGACGATTACTACTTATATTACTACCACTAATATTATCAGTACTATTGATATTACTACCGCGACGGCTATGAATATTCCTATCACTGAGAAGAAGACGACTTGATCACTGGGACAATACGTTTATTTGCCTGACGTTTCGACATCCGTCGTGGATTCATCATCAGGCACACTAGCAGGAAACAGTAGCAGAAACGGTTTCTATGACTTATATGATTACTAACAATTCACCACCACCACCACCACCACCGCCACCACCCGATCGCCTTTGTATCCATCCTGGGTGACCTCCATCCGCGCCTAGCCATTGGGTTCATGGGAGATTATCATGTTAAGCCTAGCGGTAGTGGCGACAGGATTTCCCTGTGGCTGAGAATGCAATTAAATCCGTCCTTTTCAGTACTGATTGGCTATTCGTGGTTTTTCTTTGCCATATAATTGCCAGTTGGTTCTTATTTACTTCTCCTTAGTTGATGATATTTACTAATTTCTCTTTGATTCACCAATGGCGACAAAGGGCATGCAGTATCAGAAATAATGGAAGAGAGTTGTAGATGAAATGGCTTCCATGCCTTCTTGCTTCGCCTACCACTGAAGGGGTCGGACAGCTGAATGATGCAAGGAAGAGGGAGGCGAGAGCAAATGAGGCTGTCATTGGAAAATCCGTCCCCGCGGAAAATCAGCGCCTTCAAAACTTTAGTAAATTTGCTGCGCTTGACTCTGTCACGACGCGCTAAGAGCCCTGGTTCGGAGAAGGCTGCCAATTGACACGATAAAGTGTCTCCTTTGCGGGCGAAGCTCCAGGTTACAATGGCTCTTTCTCACTGCGGCCCCTAAGCCACTCTTGTCCATTTGACATCCGAGTCGTCCTTATAGGAAATCTGGCACATGAATTGTGGCCAGGTCGTGTGTGCGGTACGCGTAGACGGACCGTTCAACCTTGTCAGCCATTGCATCTGCGTTCATTTCTGGAGCGATTACGGTAGGTTATACGCAAATCGGCTTCCCTATAAACCGAGCCGCTTGCAAATTACCGGTACTGTATGTCTCCCGATTGAAGTCGTCGCCTACAATCGGTTCTCTAGTTCATCCCGAGGAAATGGGTGAAGTAACCAATTAAACGTGTAAAAATTAGCCACTTCCGTCGTTTTGCCTCTGCGATCGGTCGCATCGGTCTTGGCAATCG